ATGCTGCCCTAGTTAAAAAGGAACGCTTTATTACTGCCTACCACGCTGCTAGGGAGACTGCGATTACTAAGAGAGTAATTCGCGCTGGATGGGCTACTACAGGCATCTGCCCATTGAATATTGAGCGGGTAGTTAACTCATCTCAGGTCGCTCAAAGGCCTGTTACGCTACCCCGTTAGAATAAAGCTTAAACTGCTAAGAGTTATCTCTCTACCCCCCACAGCCCTCGTAATCTTTTTATAGCTCAGCGAGCGCTTTATAGAGAGTAGAGTATCGGCCGCAAGGTTTACCAGCTCTTTGAGAAAGCAGGCAAGGCAATTACAACTGCAAATACACGAGCAGCAGAGCTAGAAGCAGAGAACAAGAGACTTCACAGTTAACTTGAAGCTCTTAAGCCTCAGTAGCCATGGAAGAGAATTCGAATAGACCTAAATCAACGCTTTGCAGATATAGATATAATCATGGTAGCAAAACAGGCAGCAGATCTTTTAGCGTTACAAAATAACGACAAAGTAGCAGAAAAAGAAGTAGAGAGAGCAGCAACTGAAGCAGCAGCTAAAACTCTTCAATCTATGTGTACAGAGTGGTAATTGTAACTAGGTTGAGGCAATTACATTGATTTTCTGAAGGGTGGCCGATTTTTGGTGGGTGATTCGGAACCCCGGGTGATTCGTATCGGGGGCGACTAGCTTAGTGCTTTAGGGTTACCCAATTAGAAATGCAACGCGGATGATTGATGGGTGCGCATTTTGGTGGGGTGCGCGGGTTCCATGTAGCCGAGCTTATTAGTCTTGGCAGGCATAGCTGCCCTCTTCCCGCGCTTGTACCTTACTGCGCAACCACCTACATTCTCAACAAGGCTTGGTATGTTGCGCCAATAATTAAACAACTGACCGAAAACGTTTGGTAACGCCCTTCATATAGTTCTGACACACGAGTGTGCGTCTCTCCTTGCAGCGCATGGCGGGAGTAGATATCGCCTTTTTGGTGATCTTTGGCTCTCTTCGCCTGAGCGTCACCTCCACCCGCACGCCCTCCACCGGTTAAGGCAGCTTGAACCACGTCTCCGGCAGCTAGAATTTCCAGCAACTCCAGGTCAGTTCATTACAGTATGTCTGATTCTGCTCCATAGTAATGCGAGTATAGGATGTCAAACACAGCAAGAACGTGTGTTCAATCTTCCAGAAGCATTTCGCGAGTTCCAGGAGTTTGAATCAGTGTCATGGGCCAGTCCCAGGCGCAAAGATGAATTAGTAGCTCCCTCAGGTAGCCTTACGTGGCCCATCGCTCATCATTTGCACAATCCTTCCTTCCAAACTCTCACACCACATGAAGGAGAAACGGAAGATGCAACGAGTTCTTGTGTCTGGATGATAATTGCGAACAATTTCGTGCCAGGAAAGACATTCATTTTCGATCATCTCTCCCGGCGCGAGAGTGTCGATGGCTTGCAGATATATCCGCAGACCATCCTTGATCTCCACGAAACATGGCTGTCCAAGATTCGGTCCAATATGGCGGCGAAGGTGGAGGTCGTGTATGGTAATAAGGTCCGCGACAGGATGTCACAAATCTACGATCTCGAGCCATTACAACTTTGGGGCGAGTACGAAGGCATTGTTCTATACCTGGAATGGTTATCGATTGGCACAGTGTTCGGAAAGTCTCTCGCACGTTTGGTAGTGCCCGCCTATCATCCGCAAACCTTTTTGTCACCTGGGGGCGCGCGCTATAGCGCTCGACAGGACACAATCTTACGCGTTGCGCATGAGTTGGCCGGGCTAGCATATAAGGACGGCTTCTACAAGAATTTCAACACGACGATGATCAATAAAAGCGGTGTTCGACCACATCATTACATCACATCGAGCAAGCTTGCCATCGTTGCTGAAGAGGAACTTAACAAAAACATCGCGGAAATGATCAAGTCTAGGAAGCTAAGGCCGATAAGCCGGGTACGGCTGCTTCCGAATGAAAAAGGTACAGTAACATCATTGTATTTAGGGACTGGTAATGCTTACTAGATGTTATGGAAATTGCACGCTTCAACAAGACAAAGGTATCCCAGAAGTATATAATGGATCCTACTAAACCATCAGTGATTAACGTTAGATGTAAAGCCTGTGATCTACCAAACAAAGACTACCTACCGCTTTGGTGCGCTAAGAGCGGGAGATATGTCGCAAGGAGGAAAAAGTGTATAGACGAGAAGTGTATAGGGCGTCTTACGATACCGCAAGTCTCTCGACTTAGATATGTCGCTTACTCTGGTTCGAAGGCTTCAGCGAATACCTTGACACAACGACCTCCTGAACTCACATGCACCCAGCAAGCGGTCCCTCCACTGTCGTTCGGTGGATCAGTACCAGATGGGCTAGTGCAGAACCCAGACCCAGACTTAACTTCATCGAAGCACCTGGTGGAGAATTCCACACCGCGCTCTTCGAAACCTTTGGCCGTGCCGTCCGCTTTGCCTGCACCCACTTCAGGACCCCCAGTTGCTAGCAAAGGCTACAATTCAAGAGAGGCCCGTCAAGCCACACTATCGAGCGCGCCAGTTTTCCTTAGCAACGCTAACACTACACTAATTATAAAATGCCTTAACTAATAAATGCATAACTTATTATGGTAGAATTAGGCGTAATTACGCTTAATAGTGCTTTGTATTAAGTATGTATAGTCTTTATAGTCTCTCTAATAGTCCCTTTATTATAAATTTTTATTAAGCTAAGCGTTTAAGGCCATATTGTTTTTATTCTACTTGCAAATATTTCAGTTTTCTGCGTTTATTGTTGAAACCTAGCACTGCGCCCTCTCTAACCTGGCGTTGCTACTAAGATTATACAATTGTTATAGTTACAGTGTTAAGTTTCATAAGATCCAGATCGACAAAAATTGGGTACTCTCCTGTCTCAGGTTGGAGTTCATGTACCCACTCGTGTTGGAAAGACCCAACTCTTCGATACTCATTCTCGGCCTGTCCAGTTGCCTCTAAGAGCAGGCCATACAACTCTTTGACCTCTCGGGCGCCATTTTTGTGGAAGATATATTTATATCCAAGGAGGAAATAAAATAGTTCACCAGTCAAGCCGATGAAGTCGAATGGTGGTCTTCTGTCGGCCCAGTTTCGGCAACAGGAGCTGCTATAAAGCTCAAAGGTTTCAAAGAACGGCCTGCTTTTTCTGACGTGGCCGGAAACTGTCAGTTTGCCGTTTTCGATTCGGCACATTGGATCAGAGCTCAAGGTATTGAGAACGATCTCTATTACCTCCGCCACCCACACTTCGTCGTACTTCGAGCTGTCTGGATCTTCCGCAATGAAAAACAGCACTTTTCCTTTGACAGATGCCCAAGACCAACTTGGAGCTAGGTTTGTGTGAGAGGGACTCGTTTCAATCTGAGGCGGAACGTACCAATATATTCGACGAGCGGATTTTCAGGCTCTCCATCACCAACATGAATCCACAACAGACCATGCATAAGGTCTCCTTTCCAGAGTCCAGCAACGTATATGTCTTTTAGTGCAGCTTGGAAATACTTTGCAAGCCTTGAAAGAGCGGGGAAGAAATCTTGTTGGTAAGTCAATTGACAGGCTGAGTACCACCGTGCCAAAACAAGCCACTTTCTGTACATCTCTTGTAGGGGGCGGGGCTTCCTTCTCTTCGTATGTTGATTGACGTGCAATATTTTAAGCCGTCCTTGATATCTGTGTTCATCAAAGAGGAGATTGTTGATGCGAAGTGGTGTACCGTCGGCACCCCAAGGAGAGTAACTGGGTATGGCAGGCGGCCCTTCTGGATATTTTTCACAGGCTTGAAGTTCAGAACATCCCCACTGGAGCCTTTCTGCGA